TAACACACTTAGGAATTATGAAGTAAATGTTGGAAAACTGATGTATTTAAGTTTTAACTTTCTAGAGAACATCCTATCCTGATCATATGAAACATGATCTTTAAAGTATCCTGACTTGGTATTTTGAATAAAATACTCAAGGGAAACAGCTCCAGAGGGAAAATATAATTTATACCAGCACTGATGATATATATATATATATATTTTTTTTTTCTTTTTTACTAGTAACATAAAAATTCATATAATATGTATAAATAAATACAAACATATACATACACACACATATATAAACATAAATGGAACCAGCTTCATGCCCCTGTTGAGAACTGATAAAGCAAACATTAGCAAAATAATACAGTTATTAAAAATGAAAATAAGCTCACACATATTTGGAAATAGGTGCCTGACATAAAATAGAAATCCTGTTGTGGTCGTGTTTTAGGGACACAGGGAAGCAGAAGACTGTCAGTTGCTGCCTCAGGGACATGATCTTCTAGAGTGGGAAAATAGATAACCATGAGTAAATATTGGCTAAATAAGGTAATTTTAGGTAATATGCACTGTGAAGAAAATAAAATGGGGAAGGAATAGAGACTTAGGGCAGAAGGGTGACATTATTTTTTTATTTTTTTTAATCCTCACCTTAGGATATTTTTCTATTTATCTTCAAATAGAGTGGGAAGGAGGGAGGGAGGGAGAGAGAAGGAGAGAGAGAGAGAAGCATTGACGTGAGAGGAACACATCAACTGGTTGCCTCCTGCACAACCCCAGCCAGGGCCTGGTACGAACTACAGGTGAAGTACGTGCCCTTGACCTGAATCAAACCCTCGAGTCTTTGGTCTGTGGGCTGACGCTCTAACCACTGAACCAAACTGGCCAGGGTGTGTGACATTATTTTAGAGAGGATGGTGAGAGGAGGGGGATTCTTAGCTGAGCCATCGACTTGACAAGGACCCGCCCAGGTGACGGTGGGGAAGGAGCATTTCAGGTGGAGGGAGCCCCATGTTTAAGGACTCTCAGCCTGGAATGAGTTCTGCATGTGTGTGAACCAAGAACAGGCCATTGTCTCTAGATCTGAGAGAATAACTGTATGTTGGTCTAGATCACAAGAGAAACTAAGTTATTTCCAAATGGCCTAAATAGCTGGGCTCTACTTTTTTATGGTTTTAAAAATTTTATATTGTGATTGTGAAAATAATGGCAAGAATACAGAAGTATACTAAACAAATGTACATTTTAAAGAAGAATGATAAAGCAAATATCCACAGAACCACCACCAGTTATGAGCTAAAATATTGTAATCCCCTTGTAGCTCTCTGATTGCATTGCTCTTCCTGGCTCAGTGTTTAACATTGTGTGCCTTTCGAGATAACAATTCACTTGCTGTTCTGTGATTTAGTGCCCTGTATTTGCAACCCAAATAATATAGTCTGGTGCAGCTTGTTTTGAATTTTATATAAAAGAACCATAGTATATGTATTCTTTTGTGACTTGCTTCTTTTCTCCAAATTGAGATTCCTTTGTGTTGATCTGTGAGTTTTTAGTTAGTTTTTACTCTACTGTATATGGACATACTGTAATTTAGTCATTTGTCCTGTTGATCGGTATTTGTTTCTTCCAGTGTTTGGCTGTTCTTGTGATCAGGTCTGGATTTTCTAGTCTACAAATTGTGCACGTGCAAGGATTTATCTTGGGAATTTACCTAGGAGAACAGTTTCTGGGTTGTAGGCTGTCACCAAATTTACTAAACAATGCCAAACCTCTTAAGTATCATACCAGTTTTTACTCTCACGAGCAATGTGTGAAGCTCATATACAGGATTATACTAGTCCTTGAGGTTGCCAGACTTAGTAATTTTTGCCAGTCTGATGGGTGTGTCGAGGTTCTACTTTTCTGTTGTTGTTAATCTTTACTTGAGGATATTTTTCTGTTGATCTTTTAGATAGAATGGAAGGGAGGGAGAGAAGGAGAGAGAGAGAGAGAAACATTGATGTGAGAGAGACATATCTATTGGTTGCCTTCTGCATGACCCCGACCAGGGTCAGGGACAAACCTGCAACCCAGGTACATGTCCTTGATTGGGAATTGAATCCAAGACCCTTTGGTCTGTGGGCCGACACTCTAACTGATGCTTTGACCACTGAGCAAAACTGGCCAGGGCGAGGTTTTAGTTTTCACTTTTATTCTCACTAATGAGTTTGGGCATCTTATCATATGGTTATTGGCCATTTGGATTTCCTTCACTTGTGTTTCTGAAGGGCTGATTCAAGTGTTTTTCCCAATATTTTCTTGGAGTTCTGTGTTACCTCCTTGTATAGTAATTATTTATACCTTCTCTGTGTGTGATCTTCCCTTTAACATGTCTTTAAATATTTAAAACTTTAACAGAGTCAAATTTTATTATTCTCTCTATATTAATTGTCCTTTGCTTTGTGACACATCACCCCCAAAGCTAGTGGTTTAAGCAGCAGCCCTTTACTTAATTCAGCTGGGACGCAGCTCACTGGGAAGTACGGTCTTATCTTGATGGCCTCCTGCTGTGCAGGGAAGCTCTGCTTCTGCGGGTTGGCCGTCTGATGGATGGGGCAATAACGGGTGACTGACCCACCGGTCTCCATCAGCCAGCAGGTGGGCCTGGACTTGCTCCCGTGGAGTCGGGCAGAGGTGTGCACAGCTTCCAGAGGTGGAGGCTCAGAATTCGCACTGTCACGGTCACCACCTGTTGGCCACGAGCCCTGCCCAGGTTCAGGGGGTTGGAAAGTAAACTCCGCCTTTTGCCTGGGGAGCTGCAGAGTCACCTTGAAAAGAGAAGCACCCACAGGGAGGGGCAGGAGTTGTGACCGTGTTTGCCATCCACCACATTTCACCTTATGGTGTGCTTTTCTCCCAGACTTCCAGAGTAAGAAAGTACAATCCTGTAGCACCTTCTAAAAGTTTTAAGATTTTGCCTTTCACTTTGAGGTCTTTCAGTGTTTCTTTCTTTTTTTAAAAAATGTCATTTTAAAGAGAAAAATAATTGAGAACAATAAGATAGACAGGAATTAGAGGAAGAATGAAGTTTTGTAAACCACGGCAGTGGGGATGTTGACAGTGAGGGAGGCCACGCGTGGGGCTGCAGGTCTGTGGAAAATCTGTACCTTCTGCCCAGTTTCACTGGGAACCTATGTACTAACAAGCATAGTCTACTAGGAAAAAACAAATCAAAACAAAACAGACTATGATGGCCACCGAAAGAGCTGGTGAGCATTACTAGAAGTGTCAGAGGTGCTGGAGAAAGCAACTTGAGGGCAGTGGGGTGCTGTCGTACATAATTTGGGGATAAGGAGTTGGTCAAAAAAACATCAAGTAGAGTCTGGCTGGTGTGGTTGAGCGTCGACCCATGCACCAAGAGGTCACCAGTTTTATTCCCGGTAAGGACACATGCCCAGGTTGTGGGCCAAATCCCCAGTGCGGGACATGCAGGAGGCGGCCAATCAATGTTCTCTCTCATTGATGTTCCTATCTCTCTCTCCCTCTCACTTCTTCTCTCTCTAAAATCAATAAAGGAGAAAAAAATCAAGTAGCATTTTGTAGTGTAAAAATAAGAATCTGGCCTTCATTCCTCGTTTGTTAGCTATAATAAAGTGAAGACAATGAGAAAGAACAATTCTTTTTATTATCCTACTGTCGTATTAAAAACAGCCCTCCGTGTTTAATAGTGTTCGCTTCACTTTATTGTCCATGTTTATTTTTTGCAAGAGTTTTCCAATCAGCAGTTATGGATTACATTTCATTTTTTTCAACTTTTCAATTTGCCGGACCCAAAATTTTATTTGAACATGGTCTCTCAGTACTCATTGTCCTAAGACTAGAACCATAAGGAGTGAAGGAGTCAGTGATCAGTTTCTTAAGAAAGTGCTTTAGACCAGAGTAATTGTACCCCGGCTTTTGGACAAATAGCCCTGGAGTAGAATCAAGCCTTTGCTGTTGTAGTAGCTGTGCAACTTTGTGTGAATTACTTAACATCTCTGAGCTTTAACTCTCCATTGTAAAATGGAGTTAATCTTTATGTTTCTTATCTTTTAAGAGCATTGAATGAGATAGAAAGAGTATTACCTAGCATGGCACGTGGCCCATAAAATAAATATTAGCCTAGATTAGAAGTAGGTTTCCCACTATTTCCTGTTAAGCTCTAATTTAAAAAGATGAGGCCCTCCAGAGGTCTTTTGCAGAATTAATTCTTTCTAACATTTAAGCTTGCTTGGCCTTAGTTACCTCCTTGGTGCTGTTTTCTGTGAAAACTCTTTCAATATCTTCTGAGTTCTCTGACTGGAGTTTGACAGTCAGTTAAGGGCATCTGGTTGGCTGATGGCAAGCTTTTGAGCGTGTGTGCGCGGGTGCATATTTTTCAGTTGTAGTTTACATTCAGTATTATTTTGAATTAGTTCAGGTACACAGCGTAGTGGTGAGGCGGTTATGTACCCTACAGAGTGTTCCCCCAATATTTCCAGGACCGGCTGGCAGCACATAGTGACTGTCATGTTATCGACTGGATTTATTCTGAACTTCACATCCCTGTGACTGTTTTGTAGTTACCAGTCTTTACTTGAGACACTTCTATTTGAAACCTTGGTGGCAGCTGGACCTCATGGAGCCCTGAGAAATACTGTCAGGAGTGTGTGTTCATAGTTGGAACTTGTGAATCAGGCAGGCTGTGGCCCGAGGAGGCAGAGAAAGGGAACATGTTTTAGGGAGCCAGGGAAGCAGGCAGGTCTCTGAGGGAGGAGAGTCTGGGGCAGGGATAAGCATTTCTCCGGCACCTGCTCTCTGCCGGGATACAGTAGAAGACAGAAGCCACCCAGAGGCCTGCACCCGGGATGAGGGCCCCTTGGCAGAGTTGGGCTGTGCCTCTTCACCGGCTGAGTGGAGGAGAGCTCCCCGCTCTGTAGACCTTGGAAGGAATCGAGGTCTCCCGAGCCTCGACTCGAGGACCCACGTCATGATTGAGTCTTTCTCCCCAGGTCTCTCGGCCGCCCAGCGGAAGTTTGCCCACTCACTCCGGGACTTCAAGTTCGAGTTCATCGGCGACGCGGAGACCGACGACGAGCGCTGCATAGGTGCGTGTCCGTGGAGGGAGGCCTGGGGTCGCTCTCCTTGGCTTTGCCCGCCAAGTAATTGCTCCTTCCTCTTGACAGATGCCTCCTTGCGTGAATTTTCTAATTTTCTGAAGAACCTGGAAGAACAGAGAGAGATCATGGTGAGTTGTGGGACGTCAGTCAGTCCACCCTGGAGCAGGGAGCCTGGGCGTGGAGGGCTGTGGATCTGGGGAGCTGGGATGCTGTCTCCGTTGGGGAGGTGGGGGAGGTGGGGGAGAGCCCTGGGGGAGGTTTCAGGGGCCCCGTTTCCAGTTCCTCAGGGTGCTGGCTGTGGCGACATCTTAGACGAGTTGCTGGACCCGTAGACCTGTTTTTCGTCTGCAAAATAGTGGGCTGGACCATATCAGTTTCATCTAGGTGGTTGTAAGTGGTGGAGAACTTTCATCTAAATTGAGTCTCAGGCAGAACCTTCATGTATCAAAAGCAGGAAAGTTTATGCGGAGGCCCAGGGGCGGCAGGGCGATGGTAGAGTTAACTGTGGATTTCCAGGCTGTGTGGGGAGGGAGAGGCCTCGGGCCTGGAAGTCTTTAAAATCCCACTTGGCCTTGAGCTTCATGATCCCAACACTGGTGATAATAGCTACACGTCATTGGGTGCCCTCCAGCGCGTGATGCTATCTGAGAGCATTGAGTCGGTGATCTTACTGACGCTCAGCAATATGTTTTGAGTGTATTGGATAATACTTACTTGCATTTCCCTCCAGTTGACAGATGTTCATTCGTGCCACAAAGATTCACAGTAGAATTGGCCCTGGGTTATGGCACACTGTCCTCACCCGTTTGTTTCAGGCTTTAACAAAGGACAAACTCATTTTTTCTTCTGTACTGCCTAGAATAATGGTAAATGTTGGTATATGAGTATGTTCAGTTGTATGTGGTGGTAGTAGTAATGTTGAACATGAGAGCTCAGGCAGTTAACTCTGTGCCCAGTACTGGCCCTGGCAGTTCACCGAATATGAAATCCTTTAATTCTCACATCAACCCTGTGAGACAGACTGTTGTTGCCCCTACTTTACAGGTGAGGAAACTGAGTCACAGTATGACACATGGATCACATGGCAGCTGGGAGGTAGAGCATTCAGCAAACATGTATTGGATCAACCTTGCCTTTTGTCTTTTGTCTTTTGTTCCAGTGACTGACTAGAATCTGAGCACAGAGGCAAACAAAGCCAAGTCTCTGCCCTCAGGGAGTTTTCGTTCTAGAAAGGGGAGGTGATAATAAAAAAATGTATAGTACATTGCAAGGTAGTGATAAGTGCTACAAATTTAATAAGGAAGGGTAAGTAGCCAAGGAGCGGGACGGGGTACTGGGGGGGGGGGGAGGCTTCCACAGAGAACAGTATGGCCATCCAGGGATCAGGAAGAAGGTTCTGGTCAGATGGTGCTAACAGAAGCTCTGAGAACTGTGCTCTCTGTCAGACAGCCTGGCGCTGGGACCACTTTCCAGTTTTTTGATCTTGTCGGTTCATCTCAAGAAACATGAAACAGCCCTGGCTGGTTTGGCTCAGCGGTTAGAGCGTCGGCCCGCAGACCAGAGAGACCCGGGTTTGGCTCCTGCTGGGGGCACGTGCCTCGGTTGCAGTTTGTCCCTGGCCCCGGTTGGGGTTGTGTGGGTGGGAACCAGTCAATGTGTCTCTCTCACATCGATGTTTCTCTCTCTCTTCCTCCCTCTCTCCCTCCTGCTCTATCTGAAGATAAATGGAAAAATGTCCTCGGGTGAGGATAAAAAAAAAAAAAAAGAAACATAAAACAGAAACAGAATCTCAAGACAGACAGAGCATCATTCTGTACACCAAAAAGTTGCGGGTTCGATTACCAGTCAGGACACACACTGAGGTTGCAGCTGGGAGGTAGAGCTGACACATGACCAAACCAGGTGCTCTGAACCACTCGCCTCTGGGCCATGTTTCTAGCTGTCACTGTACTCTCATGGGTAGACTCTGGTGGGGATTTCTTTCTGGTGGAGTTAGAGTAGGGGAAGAATTGGGAGGGGACACTGATTTTATTTTTTCTTTTGTTGTTGTTTTTTTTTTAAGAGAAGAAGGGAGAGAGAGAAACACTTATGGGCTGCTTCCTGCACGCCCCCTACTGGGGATCGAGCCCGCAGCCTGGGCATGTACCCTGACTGGGAATTGAACCAGGACCTCTCAGTCCATGGGACAACCCTCAGTCCACGGAGCCACACTTGCCGGGTGAGGGCACTGATTTTGATTTAAAAGTAATAGGGACATGAGGCCCCTAAAAGCCCCAATATAATTTGCACTGTACCCGAAACTCTGAGATAATTTGTGTATGTTGGAAATACTGTTGAGAGCATGTGAAGGTGCTGTGGTCCGTCCTGTCCAGTGTTTCGGGCACAAACTGATGTCATTCAGCCATCATTCACGTGGTCCTGTAGTCACGGATGTTTCCGCTGGTTAGGCGAGTTTAAATGTGACAGTGGATGAACAGTGCCATGACATCCCGTTCTGCGCGCAGTGGGTGTGTGGGAGGTGGCGAAACTGCGTGTTCCTGGCTTTTGTGAAGAGCCTCGACTTTTGTGTCAGCCCTCTTGGACAGTTAGTTGTGCTTTCCCGGGATCCTGAGCATTCATCAGACAGGTATTGGCTCACCTTTTTTGTTCTGTCTTTTGTTCCAGGGACTGATCAGAATCTGAGCACAGAGGCAAACAAAGCCTAGTCCCTGTCCTCAGGGAGGTGATGTTCTAGAAAGGGGAGGTAATAATAAAAAAACATATAGTCCATTGCCAGGTAGTGATAAGTGCTACACAATTTAGTAAGGAAGGGTAAGTAGCCAGAGAGTGGGCCGGGGTAGCTATGACTCAGAGTGGGGAGGGAAGGCCTTGCACAGAGAGCTGTGTGGGAGATCCAGGTATCGGGAGGAGTTCTGGTCAGATTGGTGCTGAATTTTAGCTCTGCGGAAATACTGTGTGACCACCATATGTCTTTTTTTAAATCCTCACCCAAGTGTATGTTTTTATTTATTTTAGAGAGAGAGGAAGGGGGGATATAGATGTGAGAGAGAAATGTGGGTCAGTTGCATCCCGTATGCACTCCGACCAGGGATTGAACCCGAAACCTAGGGATGTGCCCTGATCGGGTATCAAACCCACAACCTTTTGGTGTACAAGATGACGCTCCAGCCAACTGAGCCATCTGGCCAGGGCACCACCATCCGTCTTGATATTCTGTTTCTGTTTTATGTTTTCCTTGAGATGAACTGAGTGGGTCAGAAGACTGGAATGTGGTCTGAGCTCCAGACTGGCTGATAGACATGGCCTGGTTCTCAGAGCTGTTGCTGGCTGACTTGATTTAATCTTCATGGGGGTTGATGGGCTATCTGTCTTAGGTAGGAGGAAGATGACAGGCTGGGTTTTCAGTGCAGGGTAGATGTAAGAATAGGATATTGTTCGTGTAAGGCCGTGAACCTCAGAGAGGAATGGGACCTTCTGCTGAAACCCTTTTTGGGGGACAGCAACACCCGCTGGATAGCAGGGAACTATCCGGAGCCAGAAAGCAGTGGGGGCAGCCATGACCAACCATAGAATCAACAGGACATCTGGTCATCTAATGATTTTTGAAAAACTTTTTAGTTTGGAAAATTTTGAGCATGTACAAAAATAGAGACAAAACTCTAAGCTACATATACTCATCACCCAACTTCAGTAACCACTGCCCCACAACCAAGCTGGTTTCTCCTATACCCCTTACCAACCGCCTCCCCCACCCCATTATTTTGAACAAAAGCCCAGCGTCATCCGTAAATACTCTAGTACAGTCGTCCCTCGCCACTTCGCGCTTCAACTTCCGCGGCTTCACTCTGTTGCAGTTTTTTCAAATATATTCATTAAAAAGTGGATCGAGACAGTGAAAATGATACAGCATGCGCTCGGTTGTCTGAGTTAATTATACACCCCTGTATTGCAATTAAAATGAAAAGTACTGTACGTGTGGACTGCAGGCCTGTGTACTCGAGCACCCAGGGATCCTTCAACGCCAGATGCAACCGCTGGAGTCTGAGCGGACTAACCGCAATAAATGAGGGACAACTGTACATAGCTCTTAAAGATAACTCTTTCGAACCACAGTATCCTTGTCACACCTAAAAACAAATAACAGTTCCTTGATATTACAAAGAATTAGGTTGTATTCACATTTTTCTTATATTCATTCACATTTTGTCGGTCCTTCCTCCCACCCCCAGTAACAGTTGGTTTGTTTGAATCTGGATCCAAATGCAATACATTTGATTGATAAGTTTCTAATTCTCTTTTAATCTGTGGGTCCCCCCCCCCCGCCCTTAACAAGAATTCCTGGTGCTTTTCTGTTAGCTTTAGAAGATCTTTATGACACTACTTTCTGAGTGAACAGTTATACTGATGAAGTAAATAAAAGTTAAAAAGTTTGGCATTTAACCCTTATTGATGTTATTACTGAGTTTCTATCTAATCTTGATAGTCAGTGATCACTTTTTTTTTTTAAAGCATGTAAATTGTATGGAGTCATTATGACTACCTTTGTTCCTTTAAATACCTTTGAATACTTATGAAAAAAATCTTCTGTGCTTTACTGGATACCAGCTTTAAACTTTTGAATAAGAAAAGGTACGTCTCTCAAGAAGTGTCCAGTGTGGTTCTGGAGACTAACTTGTAAAAAGGGACTAAAATACATCATGTTGAGGGCGGTCACAGAGATGAGAGTGTAGCTGTGTGGAGGGGGGCAGCCTCCCCCTGCTGCTCAGGAAACACTGAGCCGGAGTTTAGGGGACGGAGATGCCCAGGAGGGCCTTTGTGTACTTGCACACGCTCATGCTTCCCCAACGCAGGGGCAAGGAGGTGAGGGCGGTCTTGAGACAGTTGGATGCCTGTGCATTCTGATAACTTTAAAAAAAAAATCATCATCCACGGATATTTTTCTGTTGATTTTTTCCCGTGAGAGGGAGGGAGGGAGGGAGAGAGGCAGAGAGAGAGAGAGAGAGAGAGACAAGAGAGAGAGAGAGAGAAAGCATCGAGATGAGAGAGGCACATTGATTGGTTGCCTCCTGTGCAACCCTGACCAGGGCCGGAGATCGAGCTGCAACCCAGGTGCAGTGCCCTTGACCAG